GTGGAGGTGGACATGAAGGGCAAGAGGGAGACGGGGACAGAGATGGTGAGTGTGAGTGCAAGTGAGAGTAGAACGACGATGAGGACGACGACGACAAAAACAGCAATATCAACAACAGAGACTGGAACAACGAGCATGTCAACCGGCTGGACAGTAGTGAATGAGGGGGTAGAATTTGTCGGAGCAAAGTGTGATGTGGCGGAATCGGATAGACTGGATTCGTACACTCAGACGACAATGAATGTGAATCTGGTGAGCCCAGCAGATGGGACATTTTTGAAAGCGCAACTGACAGGCGATAGTGTGCCGAGAACGCACGAGGCCACGACCCAAACGACGATCATAGGAGTGACAGATATTAGCACAGTGATAACCGGAGAGACGGGCGAGAGAGTGCGAGGCAAGGGTGAGATAAGAATGTGTCACGTGTACACAGAACACGTGGAGAAAGGACTGATGGAAAGCAGATTGACACATGGGGATACTAGATTGAGAGTTGAAGAAGAAGAAGAAGCGGGAACGGAAGCGCCTGAGACGCGAATCGAAGGAGGTATTAGCCCGGAGATTAGAACGACCGCGAGCACAAGCGCAGCCGGAACGCAAGGAAGCAGACGAGAATCGGAAGAAACGAGCAGCATAGTTGCTCCGCACATGACAGAGGAAGCTGGAACGGAAAGCGAGAGTGTGGAGGCGAGTGAGAGAGAGGAGAAAGCAATATCCGGTTCCGGTGAACAAACAACGAGCAGAATGACAATTAGTCCGATCGATTCAAAACACGCGGAACAGCTGATGGCACAGAGAGCACCAACAGAGCCGAGTAGAGAAGTGATGAGCGAGACGAGCGAACCAGAGAGAACAAGCACTGCCAAGGTCGAGCGACAATTTGCACCGGTCACAAGCACGATGGAAGAGATGATTGGAACAATGTTGGAAAGCAGCACCGGCTACATGATCAGACGATCTGATCAAGACACACAAACCCCAGAAGTAGAGCAATTGACAGTAGTAGCAGCAACAGAACCAGCACAAGCAAAAGCAGCGGCACAACCAGCAACAACAGTACGAACGCGAACGGGATTGGTCACGGGGACGGATGTGGAGGTGGACATGAAGGGCAAGAGGGAGACGGGGACAGAGATGGTGAGTGTGAGTGCAAGTGAGAGTAGAACGACGATGAGGACGACGACGACAAAAACAGCAATATCAACAACAGAGACTGGAACAACGAGCATGTCAACCGGCTGGACAGTAGTGAATGAGGGGGTAGAATTTGTCGGAGCAAAGTGTGATGTGGCGGAATCGGATAGACTGGATTCGTACACTCAGACGACAATGAATGTGAATCTGGTGAGCCCAGCAGATGGGACATTTTTGAAAGCGCAACTGACAGGCGATAGTGTGCCGAGAACGCACGAGGCCACGACCCAAACGACGATCATAGGAGTGACAGATATTAGCACAGTGATAACCGGAGAGACGGGCGAGAGAGTGCGAGGCAAGGGTGAGATAAGAATGTGTCACGTGTACACAGAACACGTGGAGAAAGGACTGATGGAAAGCAGATTGACACATGGGGATACTAGATTGAGAGTTGAAGAAGAAGAAGAAGCGGGAACGGAAGCGCCTGAGACGCGAATCGAAGGAGGTATTAGCCCGGAGATTAGAACGACCGCGAGCACAAGCGCAGCCGGAACGCAAGGAAGCAGACGAGAATCGGAAGAAACGAGCAGCATAGTTGCTCCGCACATGACAGAGGAAGCTGGAACGGAAAGCGAGAGTGTGGAGGCGAGTGAGAGAGAGGAGAAAGCAATATCCGGTTCCGGTGAACAAACAACGAGCAGAATGACAATTAGTCCGATCGATTCAAAACACGCGGAACAGCTGATGGCACAGAGAGCACCAACAGAATCGAGTAGGTTTGTCTTGTGCGAGTCGCCCCACTTGTTTGAACTGTCTTCTTCTTCGTGTCTGGAGGACTCCCAAAAGTTTGATTCTATCGGTTGGAAAATCCGTCGAATTGAAATGTTGATGATGGATTTGAGAAGTTATTTATCATGTTCGGATGAGGCTTGTATTTCTTCCGTTTCGGAGCATTTGTTCCATCCCGACGTTCTGAGTGATTTGGGATGGAGACCATCCTGCACTGGTAAACAGCATTTTGTAATAGATCGAACCGCCCAGTTCGATAAATCAACACTTACTATGCGTATGGACGAAGCACGGACGAGGAAGTCTCATGCAGTCTTGTGTGACACAAACATCGAGCACATGTCAGTCAAAACAACTAGGAGTAAACAAGCACAGACCACAGCTACAAAGGAACTGGTCAGTGCATCCAGCGGACACCCAATCAAACCAGTGCAATCACCGAACATAGAAGTGAGCGCACAGTTGACAGGGAAGGCATCACAAATCGAAGGCTTGGAAGCACAGTCTGACTTGAAAGTGAACAGAAGGTTGCAACGGCAAATGAACATGCAGAAACATTCGTCTGATTCTATACATGGTCCTTTTTCTGGTGATTCTAGTTTTATTTTCCCTTTTCCGGACTGCGTTGGTTCTACTCGTCCTGTCTTAGTTACCTCTGTTTCATGTTTTGTCCTTCCATATTCTACTCACCCACCGACTGATTTGCCGTGTAATTGTAGGGATTCTTTCTCTCCTTTCGACCGGCCAGTGTTTTCATCGTGTGACGCTGTAACTGACATTCCATGTGGTAAGGCTACCTTCGCTATAGACGTTAGACCTGACCCATCGTTCGTGATTCAGTCCCCTCCCGAAGTTCACTCATCTGAAATTCTTCTTCCATCTGCTCCTTGTTGCGTTCTTCAGTTCTCTTCTCCTGT